ATTAAAATTAGATAATATGAAAATAAAAATATTTACTGTATTCCCATTATTAGTAGCACATGCGCTTATATAGTGGTGTGTCTTTAGCCAAAAGAAGTTTGCATCACTGAACACAAACATTCACACAGCACAAAATATTTGTCATTGCCTTTTTTTGTTATCTCTCATTAAATCCTTACTGCAGGCAAAAAAAAAAAAGTATAAAGTATAAAAAAAGTATGTATAATAATAAAGTTATGATAAGACAACTGTAAAAAAATTGCTAAGGCTATGCTTCTGCGGATCGATATTACAGACTGGACAATGAAACCAGTGCAATATTGTAGCTATAGGACGAGATCATATAATATATATATACACAAATGTATATACCATTTAGTCTAGATGTGGGAGTTGATTATTCTAAAACAAAAGTGCTCAATACAAAGTATATGTAGAGCAAATCAATACGGTAATAGAGGAATTAATACAATTTTTAATGCACTGTTTTGTAAGGTACAAGTGAGTAAGGAGGTGCTTGTACCTTACGAAATAATGCTGTCGAGTTTCAATATTCATGTAGTTGTGTATTAATTTCTCTATCACCATATATATATATATATATATGTATGTACAGTTTAGATACGAGAGTTTTATTCCAAAACAATAGTGCTTGATACAACGTTTACGTAGAGCGGATAGATACGGTAATAGAGGAATTAAGACACACACTACTACATGAATATCGAAACTCAACAGCACTGTTTCGTAAGGTTCAAGTACCTCACTCATCATGTACAGTGCTGTCGAGTTTCAATATTCATGTCTTTATTCCTCTATTACTGTATCTATATATGTACATATATATATATATGTCGCTTGACCTCATTAATAAACATAACTGTAATATCTCAAGCATTGTTGAAGGTTGGACAATGCAACTAGTGTAGCCATTGGATAAAAGATGTGCCTAGCATATCAGATGACCATTTATGTACATGTATACGGTCATGTGACCTCATCAATAAACAACTGTAAATACCTCAAGCACTTTTGTGGATAAAACAGTGCAATACTGAATCAGAAGCAATTGGACAAGAGATGTGACTAACGTATAACATGATAATGTTGTGACATGCGAGTTATAAAAAAGGACATTCAAAAAACTAGGCACTCTTGTTTTTTGGCCAAAAAAATATATTTAGTTTATTGTTAAATTAAATTACACCCAATCACCCATGTTGTTAAGATGTTTTGGTTCCTGTGATCCCCCAATCTCATTATCCAAACATTGTTTCAGATAAATACAGAAATTGATTAATTCCTTCCTTGTACAACATTATCAGTACTCGGTATCCCATCATGCTTTGTTTAATTAGATTAGATTAAGTGTCTATGGAGATTACAACTTCCTTATTTTTTTATTTTAATCTTCGTCGAACACACACAGTAATTTACAATAATCTTTTTGTACATGTAGTCTTAAAACATAACTATTTCAATCAGATATGTGTGTGTTGAATACTAAAAAGTACATTTTTTTTGCAACTTTCACAATACAAACTTGAATAATTTTTTTATATTATTAAATCATATTTACTGTATTCCCATTATTAGTAGCACATGGTGCTTATATAGTGGTGTGTCTTTAGCCAAAAAAAGTTTGCATCACTGAACACAAACATTCGCACAGCACAAAATATTTGTCATTGCCGTTTTTGTTATCTATCATTAAAAAGTAAAGATATCTCAACGTCATATTTCTCTCTGAAATATACAAATTTTGACATCAAAACAGCTGATTTTTGCAGCAATTTTTCGAACCACGTCTTTCACACATTACATGAGATCTCGCAGTCAATGGAAATCGCCTTTCGACAGAGGTACATATATGTTTATATGGTTATGAAATAAGACCCATTTTCAATGATTGAGCAATGTGGTCTATACATACTGTAAAATACTTTATTTTAGCTGGGATTAATTTTCGCTGAAAAGAATCTTTGAGTGTTTTGTGTGGAATTTATTTTCACTGATTTATGACAAGTTGAATGTAAAATATAAGAAAAAAGGTGTATTCGCTGTATTTTAAAAACTACAAGCATAAAAATAAACAAAACAAAGCTATTGTCTTAAATTATGAACGTAACATTTTTATGAAAATACACTGTAGGTACACTGACTTGTACAGTATGATGCAGGTCGGTGTCCATTAACCGATCAAGTTATTGCGTTATTTCATTTATGCTTCCATTTACAGATGGTAATAAAACAAGTCACGTCATTTATTCTTCATCTCAAAATATTGGTGTGTAATTAGGATTCAATCAACTCATCACTTCCAACGCAACAATCGATGGGGAGTACAGTTGACTATATAATTATTGTAGAGTAATAATTACCTCGATGCTTAAAAACCTTGACTGAATGTGTGAATTTAAGCTGCAATTTAGCCTCAATTAACTAAGAGATTAGAAAATAATTGTGCATAGACGTCTTCAAGTGTTGTAAATTGAGTTAACATTGATTGAGTAATTTACATAATGATATGTTTACTGATTGGGTCTTCTAGCAAGAAATGAATCAACCTTCATGTGTTAGCTCTGAAGCCTTAATTGGTTGAATCTGTAAATTTATGTTTTCATTGGATTACTGTAAAATACTCTATTTTCGCTGAAGAAATGATTCAGTAAAAATAAAATCTGGTGAATATATAATTTGTTACTACATTTTTCTTTCAATTTACAAAATACAAAATTTTCAGCGAAAATTAATTCGATCCAGCTAAAATAAATTATATAACTTACTGAAAAAAATATACTCAATATAAACTTTTTTTATTATAAGCAACATTTGCTGAGGTTAAAAGTCTTTGTGACTTAAATTAAATTAAAACTTATTAACTCATTCATGTAGTAAAACAAATAGTCTAGTGTTACAAGCTCAAAAGAGTACTTCCTTATATAAGTATTTTTGAGTTTGAATTTAAACTTTTAGTTTTAAATTTATAAAAATTTAAGTGTTATGATGCTCTAAAGCATATCAATATTTTTTTTTTTATGTTTTTTTAAAAAAAATTAAAAATTAACTTGCATAATTTATTGTTAAGAATAAATAATGTAACGATAGTAGCTGTAAGCCAGATCCCAGTGTTAAAAAATAAATATATGACAGTATATTCACCCATGTTCTTGCATAATTAATGTATGATGTTGCGCAGTATGTGCAATTTCTTTTCAAATTTGGTCAGTTGGACATCAATTAGAAAAATCAATTTTGTGACAGCCTGACAGCCATTTTGTGCTGTGTTCATTTCTGCGTGTAATTGGATGAGGGAAGAGATTCAGTCCTCGTTAGTGCCTTTGCATTTTAACCTTTTTCTAGCTGAGCAGGAAGAAAACATGATTCCTCAAATGAAAACTGACAATTAACGCTGCTTCATCCGTTTGCAAAATGTACACTATTGACGTACATTGCAGACACACAATGGAGGCATGTGAACAAAACAATGTTTTTGACATACTCTTATTCAATATCTAGCTGGAAAATCAATATCTCATGAATATTCCTACAATCAGACTGAGGTACCATGTCTGGAAATTATGACTCAACTAGAGGATAATTCAAAAGAAAAATTAGCATATGATAATACAGGATAAGTGAGTGCTTATGAAGAATAAAAATATGGATAATTAGAGGTTTTTTTGTGGCTAATACTGGAGGTGCATGTAATGAGTGGTATTGCAAGATGTAGTATTTATCTCCGGTATTAAAGTCAGCGCAAAACTGACCATAAGAAAGTGACAAGCTTAAAAAGTTCCATCTAAGTCATGCAACCACAAGACAAAGGACTAGTTTAAAATTTTACATCTATGACCTGCAACCACGAGACTGGGGACACGCTTAAAAAGTTGTGTCTGAGACCTGCAACAACAGCAGAGACTGAGCTCATAAAATAATGTGGTGTGGATCGAATATGGTTGCCGCTAAAACATAAGGATGTCTGTGAATATCACAACACCTCATATAATAATGCTTTCTATTACTGGTATCTATATATGATTTCTAATAAACTAAACTGAATAATTACATGTAAATATGTTACTTACCTATGTATAGGAAAGGTTACTTTCCCCGACTGGTCACTGGTAGCATAGTGGTTGTCGCTCCAGACTCATGATCGGTAGACCCAAGTTCAAATCCTACCTTAGTCTGAACATCAAAGGGTCAACCCCTACCCTGGGTGAGTGTGCCACAGATTCAATGGGAAGGCCAATTCCACTGGCCGAGATTCATTCACTAACGAATGCGACTTTGGGGGAACCTTTGTTAAGGTCTGCAGGTGCTTGTGTTCGACCGAGCCTGGTTGACGCCAGGATAGTGCATTAAAATTGCCATTTGACAGAGAGATGGCCACACAGCCCTGTCATGTAGTCCCAAACATGAATATGACTTCTGTGGCAAAATGCACTGTGTGTCAGCACTAGCACTTGCAATTTGCACATACAAAAAAAAAGTCAGGAGAGGCAACGGCGACATTCAATGTCCAGAACTGTCACCTGGCACAAAAATATTTAAAAAAAAAAAAAAAGGTTACTTTCCCCTGTAGGTCCATGAGATAAAGGATGATACATGTATATACATAAAGACCTTAAAACATGGAAATATGTTTACGGAAAATTTTCCCTGCAAAGGGCAAATTGTGATCAATACTGTAAAATACTTTATTTTCGCTTAGAATTAATTTTCACTATTTTCACTGACGGAATGAGAATAAAATCCAGCTAATATATCTTTTTTCCTATATTTTAGTGAAAATAAATTCCAAAAAGTTTTTTCAGCAAAAATTAATTGACAGTATATGAAAAAAATTGAAAAACTGACTGTCTACATGAAAATATAATTGTCTAATAAAGTCGTTTGTGTTTTACATTTTGAATAACAAAGGGATGTACAATATTTAACACCGAAAATAACTTATAATAATTATTTTTTTTTGTTTCTTTGTTTTATATTTACAGATTGTATGTGTAATGGGCACTCAAATGAATGCCATATTGTATCCGATGAGCTCAGTTGTGCAAACTGTCAACATAATACAATAGGTGCACACTGTGAGGAATGTCTTCCAGGATATTACAGAGATTTATCAAAGAATCTATCCGATCCAGAAGTATGTTCTGGTAGGTATAAATCTTGCATATCATACCTAATTTGCATATTTAATTTTTTTTTTAATATTTATATGTTGCATGTACATGTATACTACAAGTTAATGTAACTTATATAATTTGCATATTGAAATTATGACTAATTCTATTTTACATTATAGATGTACACTACAGAATTAATGTGACTCATCTAATTTGCACATTGACAATCACATATACTGAAGTGGATGTGACACATTTAATTTGCATATTGACATTACATCTTCTGTGGAGTGAATGTAACTCATCTAATTTGCATGCTGACATTTGAATAATTATATGTACATGGCAGAATTAATTTAACTCATCTAATTTGCATATTGACATTTAAATAATTTTACTTCATATGCATGTATACTATGGAGTGAATGTAACTCATCTAATCTGTGTATTCATATCTGAATAATTATATGTAAATGACAGTATTAATTTGACTCATCTAATTTGCATATTGCATTTGAATAATTATACTTCACATACATGTATACTATGGAGTGAGTGTAACTCATCTAATCTGTATATTCACATCTGAATAGTTATATGTAAATGACAGTATTAGTTTGACTCATCTAATTTGCATATTGACAATTGAATAGTTATACTTCACATACATGTACACTGTAGTTATGGTAACATTCAAATAATACTGCACTGAGATTTGCATGCATGCAAAGAATTACTCAGTTAATGCATTAATTCTAAACCAAGCCCCTTACAGTACCTCTGACATATAGATTTATTTATCAAATTTACCACAGCATCATATCCTAGGATATGCTGTAAAATTTCAAATTATAATTTATTTCTTTATTATTCGATTTGTAAGTAGCTGTAATATCAACTTAGGTGTCAGTTATAAAGTTGTGGTAACAAAGTATTCATTGAAAACTTTATCCAAATCATACATGTAGAACCTGTTCAGCTGTATGGTGATTTAACCTTGTTTTAAGATCGATCACTTTGTCTCGGCCATGTTGTTTATTTGTGGTTTCATTCATACAAGTAATTATCTAGTTTATATTTGAAAATATTTACTATGTCCAGAAATGCTAGAAATGTGTCAGAACATTATACTTGATTCTATTTTTTTCAAACATTTTTTAAGCACATTAATAGCATGTTTGGAAATCAATTTAAATTAATAGAAAACATATTCCACATTATGTATTTTTTTTATACTCATTCATACTTTCAAATAATTGATTGGTGTTCATGGTCTGATATACTGATACATAATTAATTATTATTAATACTAAATGTATTCCACATTATGAATTTCCTTAATATAATGCACTCATTGATATTTTAAATGCCATTGATTCCCATCCATTGTCTGATATAGTGATTTATAATTAATTCATTAATTAAATAAATAATTACTATCAATGAAGCTGGTTAATCAATAATTAAACCTTTTCTACATACACTGAGTAGAAGCATTACATTGAATAACGGTTGGGAATTATGTGTGTTTGCCAAAATGCCCTTGATATTTAAATTAATAAATGAAAAAAACTTCTTATGCCTATATATAATTTTTTTAGTCTATTAAGATGAAATATTAATCAAATTGTATGTAACATAAGTATATGTACTTTCTATTATTACTTACTTTCAGTAAATCCATATATTTCAATTTTCTAAATTTGTTTTCACCAAAATTAAGTTTTTATTAGTTATTGTTGTTATTATATTTTGTTTTCTCACTTTTCAAATTCATCAAGTATACCATCACAACTAAGATATATACCGGTACACCATGAAAATTTGACATTGTGGATGGGTAAGGAGAAATCAATCTTGTTGCTGTCCTTGCCTCAACGACATTTTGAAACTTTGAATTTGAAACTTCGTAAAATTTGTTCATCAATTGAGCGTACTAAGAAAAAAATACGGACTAGAATGCAGGCAGTACTGATGATGAAAATAATCTCAGTCACATTGCGTTATTTATTAATTTTGCATAATTATCAACGAACTTTTCAAATTGAAACACAGTTTAATGTATGAGTGAATTAAACTGGTTAGATGATTACATACACCTGTCTTGGTAGGATAGAGATGAATATATTATTATAATAATGGATATCACAAAGATATCATTAGTGCTTGCTATGAAAATTGACAGACTGACATATTAGTATTTTCATCTAATATTCAACAATTACCTGAACTATATTTTGTGCAGTTTTAGAATAAAAAAAAACTTGCTAAGGACGTGGTAGGCCATATTCACTAAATTTAATAATTTGCGTTTCTAGATTTTCATTTTTGTTTATAAACATTGTTTTTTTCATCTTATCCTCTTTTTAAGACACTAAATAACATTGTAGCTTCATAATTACAAGCCTGATTATGACTGATGTTAAAATTGTTGAATCCATATAGTATATGCTACAGATGAAAGTACGTAGCTTCATGCTCTTACGGTTTATATCCACCCTTAGATTCATATAAAAAAAACACGAAAATTCTGGCTTTAGTAGATTCTATTAGTCAGTTTATTTACTATGTAGGTTACGCCTAGATCAAATCACCTGTTCTGAAGAGACTGTAGGTCAAATTTAATATCTAGTAGAGTTTACTTTATATTTTCTTCTTAAAAGGAAATGGGGGGGGGACAGCTTAATCCCTTGTGGATTGTGTGACAAATCCCACTAATTTCCATGGCAGACATATCCAGCATGTGTATATAGATGTATAATCTTTAATTGTTGTCTCCACCAAATGTTCTTGTGTGTATTTTGAATTGTAGCTGTAGTGTTTATTAAGCAGGGTCTTCAGCCATGGGATAAATCACATTGTAGGTTAGTAGCTAGACCATAAAGTTTGGAGTTTAATCTTTCAGATATATCAAATATCTCATTGTATATATTCTCATATGTAGTTATTGTCACTTAGGTGATTCTACGAATATATTTTATTAAACTCGTAGAAGACTATTTATAGAACCAATTAATTCCAGCTTATATTATTTGTATTAATAATATCGCACTCGTCTGGTTATTACTGTTGTATGCACGACTCATACGCATAGATGTAAATTAGCTTTAAAGGTTACTGCCAATGAAGATTGACATTGTAATCAGTAATCTGAGGGTTTTTAATTTTCTTGAATGTTTAATCGTACGGCATCAGTGGATTTCAATAGAAAATGAATGCTGATAATAGACATAACTCAGATGTATTCAAAAAGCTTTGAAAATTGAAATTAGTTTTGTTGTTCAATTGGTCATTTTGGGGGAAATTTCATTAAAGTTCAATGCTCAATCATCAATCAAGAAACGAGTCTCAAGACTGAATAATTTGCATAATCATTATGTGGAGATTATATCTAGCATTAGTCATGTAGAGACTAGAGCAGATTAACTACATGATTAGACATGAGGAGGAATAAATTTTATAACTTTAGAGTTAGTCAATATGTGTATAAAACAAGAGCAGATTAACTCTAGGATTAGTCATTATACAGAGACTGGAACAGGTTTACTTAACACTAGGATTATTCATTCTGTTGAGACAGGAATGCATTAACTCTAAGATTATTCAGCATGAAGAGACTAGAGCAGATTAACTACATGATTAGGCATGAGGAGGAATAAATTTGATAACTTTAGGGTTAGTCATTTATATAATATGTGGAAACTAGTAAAGATGAACTCCTGTAGAGATTAAAGAAGATTAAATCAAGGATTAGCCATTATATCATTTTTATTATTGGAAAAAACAATAGCAGTCATATATTGGTATTCTTTCATATTGTTACCTAGTAGGTTTTGTGACTCAAAGCTTTTTATCACGACCCTACCTCTCATTAAAGTACAGGTTATTCATTTAGAATGTCACTATACACACATTAAATCACCATGGTTGTTGTAGTTATGTATATTACAGGAAATGCGAGTCAAAGACGTGACCTTCAACTTAACCACTTGGGACTTGTGATTTTGCCCACTTATAATACGTTTTGATCTGATGGTGCAAATAATGTATGATTTGATTGTTATTCAAATGATCTGCCGTGTTAACGTCTGAATCATAAACAAATATTTTAATCTTCATAAAGGTTAGAGATTCACCCCCTGCAGCTTCATTGTTGGTACATCACTTATTTATCATGAATATAATTAAATCCTTTTGAGGACGTTCAACCTTATAATTAGGGGAAACAAATTAATCACAATTGTTGGTTTCAAAAGTGTTAGCTGATTATTGGTCTGGACAAATGTATGAACTATTTACTGTAAACGATTTTATTTTCGCTATTTTCGCTGAAGGAATTATTAAGTGAAAATAAAATCCAGCGAATATACCTTTTTTCCTATATTTTACATTCAACTGGTCAGAAATCAGTGAAAATAAATTCCATACAAAACACTCAAAAATGCGTTCAAGCTAAAATTAATTCTAGCTAAAATAAAGTATTTTACAGTGTTTGTAAAATATACTTTCAATAAAAACATGAAGAGTTTATCGAAATTTCCTGATACTGTACGACAACCACACATGTATACCCGTATTAGAACATTATGATTTTGTTGAAGTACAATATTTGTTGCTATTGATTTTAGACAGAAAAATGGCATGATTGTCAATATCTGGAAGGCAAACAGAGTGTAAAAAAAGTATTCAACAGCTTTCACGGTCATAACCGCTCATTGTCAAATCCTCGTCTATCCATTAATGCTCCTTTCTCGAAAGTCTATAATCACAAGACATGATGTATTCATATTTCTATTATTTGGAAAAGTAAAATGATATCTAAGTTATGTTGTAGGGGGGTTACTGTGAATACATTAATTTCCTCCAGTATTTATTTTACTATTTTGATTTTAATATTTCACTGTTTTTATCAATTCACTCACTCTACATTTAAACAACTTTTAATGGATTTCACATATTTGCGAAACTAGCCATCAATTCAAAATTTGGTCAATATATAGTAAACATGTCAGGGGGACGGATCATTGCACTTAACGCATGTGTGGTATTCAGAAATGCCAGAAAGTCCCCACAAATCGTTAAAAATTGAAACCAGTGAGAATTGTGCACAATTTGAATGGCATGGCAAACAATTCAGTCTTGGGCAGTACTCAGTGTCAACACCTTGCTGGGTCTAACCATATGTGTTAATAATTAGGGACTATTTTATTTATTGACACTGACTTTGGAAAGTACAGCAGTAAAGTCAATAAAGCCTACAAAACAATAAAAAAATGAATAACAAAGACAGAGAAAAACAGAAAATAAATTACAAAGTTAGATTTACAAATTACAATATTAACTGGCAATTGAACAAATAAAAGTACATTTCAGTATATCTATAATAATACTATAAGGTGTTAGGTACTTGGATTAGTCTGTAATTTACATTGTACATGTA